TTCTCTTTTGCTAGTCAGCAGCATGAACCCCTGAACCAAAGATAATTTGGATATGTGTTGAGGACTTGTTTTTATTAAAAGACAGGCTGACAATTTAGGAAAAGCTGTTTCTTTTTCTTTTTGCAGTACAAGACAACTGACTGCTTTATTAATTTAGTTAATTAGGCCAGACATAGATAAAATATGTGGGTATCAGCCCCTCTATATGCAGTTTTTGATTGCTGCATGCCTGGTGGAGGTCATTGTCACTGATTACCTTTACACTTTGCTTGACAAATGCTCTCCTGCACACTGAATGCTGCTCCTAGAGACAGCAGGGAGCTACAGTTAAGTCCAGGAAAGTCAAGAAGCCCCCTAGATCTTAATTATAAAACCATAAAAGAAACCAACTGCCTCTGAAGCTCTCTTACCAGGAAACAAATGAGAATGGGAAATTGATTTCCAACCATAAATTCCAAACCCTTCAGTTTAATTTTTCCCAAGTTAACTTTCTCACCTAGCTAAGCAGCCCTGCCTTCTATTATTAGCTCCTGGCCCACTATCAGCTGACCACCATCAGTCAAACTGTCTTCATCTCAATGAGCTCAGGGACTCCCAAGGAACTCTGTGTATGCAGACTTGTGCTTGCAGCCTCTAATTATTTTCTAACAGATAATGGAGAATTTAAGTTCAGAGAGAATGGATTAAACTTGTAAGTGGATCAAAACCCTGGACAGAATCACAGCTTGCAGGATTACTTCCTGGAAACACTAAGCTTAGATGCCCAGAGAAGAAAGACCCTCACCAATTGTCTGTTTCCCCACAACACTTTAGTTTAAAGATACTTCTCTTTTTTATTTTTTATTTCCTTGATCATTTGCTATGCTTTCCAACTGCAGCATGACTTTAGAATGCATTACACTGTAAGCCAAGCATCTGGTTTGATATTAAACCATCAGATCAGGCCAATGGCTACTTCACTTATTAGACAATCATCACAGTCAAGTAATTTGAGGCTGAGGAGGGAAAATTGTTTTCACAACTGAAATTATAAGTCCCTGTTCTACTATCAAGTAGCCTCTTTGCTGTGTATTTTCCTTTTTTCCTCACAACAAGCCTCTCTTCCCTCCCTAGAACTCAGGACCCTCTTATACTCTGTTACCAGCCTTAGAGTGAGGAGCAGGATATCATTCCTTCCCGACACCCCCTGCATCTGCTGGTGGCTCCTCTCCCAGATAGGCTTGCAGGCAGACCAGTAGCAAGAAGACCTGCACTCTGAATTCAAATTCCAGCACTTTTTTGGGGATGATGAAGTGTGACCAGCCAAGCAGGGAGGAGAAACTACGCCCCCCAACTTAAGCATGTAACCATTTCAATACCTGAAGGAAAATTCTTTAGACTGTGAAATTATTGCAGAGGTAACACACATTCAGAAGTTGGTGGTACAAAGGTAAACCTACATTTTATGAAACAGCAGAAAGAACCTCTGCAGAGTGAAAACTTATCTGTAAAAGTCCATATGTACATTCTGCTTCTGCCCCGGAGAATGCTGCATGGGTCACTCTGTAGACTTCAGCTTGCACTTTTTTAACAGACACAGACAAATGTAGTGAGATAAAAGCTATATAAGAAATTAGTGAAGAGACTAGAATAAAAAAAGCCAGGTGGGAACGAGTGGAGAAAGCCTGGAAAACAGACTCTGCTCCAACTCCCTGAAGAAAAATCCTGAATAGGGGTTGTACTTTTTGATGATAGTCAATTCATCACCCCCGAGGGGAGGAAGGAGGGAGGTGTTTGGCCATAGCAGGGGCCAAGATCATGCATGATCTCATTATAGTCATTACAGACTCATTAGTGAGTGTTCTAGGTGCTGAAATGAAAGTCCAGTAGCCAAACTGTTGCTCTTTACTCTTAACATAACATTTAGCAGAATTTGAGGAAGCTTACAGAACACTTTTAGACTTGCATTCTGCCAACATCAGAAGTTTCATCCAGAACCTATGGAAAATGCCACTACCATATATACCAGCTACTTCTGTAGACACTAAAGTATCCCAAATGCTTTCTCTGTACACAAACTGCTGTACGCAAGAGGCTTTACATTTTCCAAAACCTCTCTAGAAAGAATGCTAAATTTTACTTGCAAGTACAAGGCTGTATACAATCAAGTAAGAAATAATTGCTGAGAAAAGAGCACAAATACTTGACAAATACATTTAAAAAAAAAAAAAGGTCAAGGGGATGTCATGCAATGACAACTAACCTCATAATCAACATGTCAGACAGTTCTTCCAGGAAGAGTCAATCCCCCCCATGTTCATAATGGCACTTAGCCACCTATATACCTTTAAAAAATCTGATCCAACTGCTTGTAACCAAGAACTATTCATAATCATCTTTTAACTGAAATCACAACTGATGCATTTTGCTTTCCTCATAAATAACACCAGTAAACTGCATCAAACTTTATCAGGATAGTTATACTGATCGAAGCCTTTTTCTACCATAGCTTATATAAAGATATTTAAGTTATGTCCTCATAAAAACTTAACATTGTAAATAAACCTGTGTCCTTTCTGGGAGAGGAGAAGTCACATTAAAACCATAAACTATGCCTAGGTCATTCTCATTTAAAATGTAACTTGTTTTAGACAATAAATGACTGGGTTAGGAGGTGAGAATGGCAGGAACATCTGTACAATTGCGTGAACAATTATTACAAAAGAATGAAAGTAAATAATCATCTTCATCAATGCAGTATAGCGAAGGATGTTACAGACCACTGCACAGGTATCAAATGCAGCAGTGGCACAAAACATCTTATTTCTCCTTATTGTCAGTTATATCAACTAATCATGAAGTCAAATTCTTTTTTCTTACGATTTGAAGTAACCTTTAGGCTATTATTAACTTCTAGGACTAAAAATAATCTTCACTTCTCTCTCACCTTGTTACCACTGAAAAATGCATGAGAAACTGTTATTTCAAAGAGAAACCATTCCTAGTGTGGCTGTACCTTTACACATAGTTAAAATCTCTAGAGTTTTCCCAAAACCTTGATAATTTTTGAGACATTAATCAGATGTTACGATGCAAACACTGGAGGGAAATGTGGTCCAGTGAATTACATCAGTTGATCAAGCTGAGCTATGAAAACTCAGACAAGTAACTTTGTCTTTTAACAAGGACCATATGTTTTCTTTGTAGAGTACTTCAAGGTTAATCATTATCAAAGAAGGAGATATGAGTATTATTTCTCTCTCAGATAAAAGGTTAGATCATTAACTGGTGCAATTTGCTCAGTTCCACCAACTTGTTCCTCTGACAATTCCTTCATCTTGAGGCAGGAATCTACATCACTGCCCACCAGCATCAGACACAGAGCACAGGTTGCCTTCAGTGCCCTTGCATTCCCTGCATGTTCACTTCCAAAGGTTCCTGAATACCAGCTGTCCTCTTTCTGGAGCTATATCATTACCATACTCTTGACCATTATTTTGCCCATTAAGCAAACACCTAATGCTCTTTATCCCTGTAGTGCAATTCATTCCTTTAGAATAGGGCCAAAATGGCCTTTCTTAAAAATGATTATTTAATTTGTGCAGTGATTACTGAATGTTACCAAAGTAAATGTGTAGTGCTCTGTAAAAAGCACAGGAAATCCCTTCATCTCTCCTGCCTTCATTGAATTGCCTGAGAACTCACATGTGGTAATTTGTCTGAAATAGCTAAATCCATAACCATACATTTCTATTCACTCCTAGATGAAAGAATAGACTACATAATGGGAGTACATTCTCCTTGTGGTTTATGGACTCATTAATCCTAACCAAATTAAGCCTATACACTGAACAGATTTTCAAGACTTAAAAGTCTTATCTAATTTTCAAGTTCATAACAGAGATTTACAAAAAAGTGCAAATTTCTATCATTTGTCAAAAAACTGTCACTAAATAGGACATAAACATTCAAAGTGTCAATGAGGTTTGATCTTGTCATGGAGCTAAAAATTGGCTGCATAGTCTCTGTGAACACAGAACATTTCTAGAAATTATTATCTTGACCTCACATAAACAATATTTCAGATGAGTAAAGCAAAAAGGCTTCTTAAAATCCAGCATGTTTCCATCTTCTTTCCCCTGCCTGTTAATGCTTTGCTGCAGCTGACAGGTTCCAGACTCTCAGGAACACTGAAGCAAAAGAAAGCTGAGGATAAATTTCTGTTCCTGTGAGTTCTGCACCAGTAGAGACTTGCATACCTGGCAGGATGCTCCCCTGCAACTCCTTC